TGCTGCTGCTGATTCCCATAGCACTGCAATTGCAGTGCACTTGTTTCCATGCACCTCTCTCATCTGAAGTCACTAAGTTCTTGGCTCAGAGTGGCCAAGCACGACACAGCAACTGCAGAATCCCACACAGGTGGTGTGTTTGCCCCAGCATGGGGTTGCTAGGTAGCTGTATAGTCCATGGTACAGTCCCGGTGTTACCTGCGCTCTAATAAAATCTGCACTTGTATTTTTTCTTCTCCTATTTTTTTTTATTTTTTTTATTTTGTTTTGCAAAGACACTATCTCAGATGGGTGATACTTTGCAGCTGAACATAAATTGAACCATGCATTTTAAAATGTGATGGTTAACAAACTCATGTGGTTGTGGTGAAGGGAATTCTACAGAAAGACATAAGCCTATTTTTATAGAACCCTGTTTAATCTGGGAGACCTGAATGTATGCTAGATGTGGCAAAAATATATGCATATTCACAAATATGTACAGTGATAATAGAGCTATTATTGCTAATAGAGGATTGTAGTTTGTAATTTGTTTCTTTTTGTCATGTAGCAGCACATACATGCAGAAGGCTTCTCATCTGAAATACAAAGTGGGTCCTGGATTTGGATGTCATACACTCCTGTCAGTGAGAGTCACATTGAATCCTTTTCCCCCCTCAACAAGGATTTGAAAGGGGCACAAAATACTTGCTGTGGTGCTATTACTATTCCCACTGCATTTCCCCTCCTGTTCTGATTATAGGAACAAAATGGACCCTCACTGGTTGTCTGGAGAAGAGATGCTAAAAAGAAATCCCCCCAGACTAAATTAAATGTGCTCACTCAAAATTTGCAGAGGTGATAAAAGGAAAGTGAGAATGAGGAGTTTGCTGCAGGGACATAGAACAGATTTCAAGGTGTTTTTTTTTTCCTTCAAGTTTGGGGCAGAACAGGCTGACGGCCTGTCCTGCCCCCTAAGAAGGCAGATGCCACCACCGCCCTTTGTGCTTGGTCTTGTGACAAGGCTGTTGCATGGAGAAGTGGTGGCAGCAGCTCCTCCAGAGGTCTCACATCCTGCTCTGATGTGGTGCTGTGCCCTTCTCTGCCAGCAGCCACAGGGCTGCTGTGCAGCATGGTGGCTGGGTAGGCAAGGTGCAGCTCATGCACTGTCAGCCCCAAGGCCAAAGGGCCTTTGCATTGACTGGTGAGAAGTGGTGGCCTCAGCAGCACCCAGCTGGTGGGCACTTCACTGGGAAGGGAACTGCTGCTGAAGGGTAGATTCTGGAGGTCCCTAATGTCATCTGTAATCAGCAGTAAGTTTGAGTTTCAATCTGATGTCCATCAACAACAGCTGTTTTCAGCTTCTCAGGTACAAAGGACCAAATGTAACACTTAATGTTTCCTAACTCATTGTACAAAAGGGTATTTTGTTACCTCAGTCTCTTTGGCTTGTGAGTAGATAACATTATGTACATATAAAAGCTGTGTTAATAAATGTAATTTTGAGAACCTCATTCTTAGTGTCTTTGATAACATCTGCTCAGTCGGTTTCAATTTTTTTAGTAAGACAGCTTCAGCTTTTATTTATAAAGATGTGTTTGAGTCAGTTACTGACAGTTCTCTTCCATGGTTCTTTTCAACACTCAGCAGCCAGCTGAACTGAACTTACTCCATGTTAAACGCTTGTCAACTGGGATCTTTCAGATGCTGTAGCACAGATTCTGCTTACAAAAAAATCTTGTTTCCTAGTAAGTGCTTGAGAAGAGTTACATTAAATTCCAGGCATTTCAGCCACTTGTTCCAGTTACCTTACCTTGATTAATACAACCTATGCCACAGATCATGCCTGCCAGCCCCTCCACCCCCAATTAATTTGTTTATTTTTGTTTGTTCATGTAAAGTACAATTTCTCATGGTCTTAGATTAAACTGGAAAGGAAAAGAGTAATCTAAATTTATTAGCCAAATATAGCTAGAGTCTCATTTCCGGAACGTACTGTGAGACTAGTCAATACATTGTAGACTTACAATCTAGCATTTTATTGCTCTGTTTCTTAAAACAAAAGATTGCTGGTAGATTCAGCTGTTGTATGTCACCATAATGTTAAAAATACAATGAATTCTTCTTATAAAAGTACTTATTTGCCCTACAATTATAATCTCTGGCAACTTTCAAGAAACCTAACCACAAAAAAACCTGCACACAACTAACATGTCACATTCCTTCACTACTTCTGATGTTTACATGTCAGTGGTATTTAGAATAATAAACCAAGGAGGTACTTCATGTCCATTATTTCATTACAGAACGTGTGAGTGGTCCCTGTGGAGGTAAGAGTAGGCACTTAGATTTGCTCTGTAAGCTCATTCTAGATGCAATATAAAAATAGATTATATTAATAGGAAAAATTTAGTGTTTAACAAATTGTTTTGTAAATAGGCTACCACAAAAGATAAATCGTGTTACACTTAAACTAGACTAAAAATAACTTCATCTGAAATTTAAGTAAATAGTGCATTTTTAACCTTCATTCAGATGCACAAAATCATGCAAACTATGAGAAGTTACTATGGTAGGAAAGTTGAGGCCTGGTACTTGTTAAAGGAACTGACAGCTGCACTGGGACTGCAGGCTGCTCCTGGGTACAGCTGGGGAGTGACCTTAGCCCTCTGTGGCTGCCAGCTGTGCTGTCCTATCTGCCAGCAGCAAGAGGCTCACGCTGAACCGTTCCCCAGGATTGTCAGCTTCCCAGACACACCAACACACAGCATGTTCACAAATGCAAAAAGCCTTGAAGGGCAAGTCCTGCTGCTGCTTTGTTGTAAATCCAGAGGCAACTGCACTGCCAAGAGGCCACGGTCCCTCTAGCAGGAAGGCAGAAGCTGGCCTCGGGTGGGTGCGGATGGCTGAAAACCAGAGATTCTTGCAAAATGACTCCCTGCTTTTCCTGCTCCTCCACAGGCTGCAGGAAATTATCAGAGTTTTTTTTATGCTTCTGATTCCTCCCCTTCATGTGCAGTTCCATCTTCATCTGACTGATCGTTCAGAAGCACGAACTTCCCATCATTTGTTAATGGTACAGACTTCATGAGCTGAGCTAATGCTTCTGGGTCCTGAAGAGAAACAGGAAAGGGCTCAGCGGGCTGCAGCAGTCTTTTGGAGCACAGTTTTCCTAGTACTTCTTGCTAAGGTTTTGCAGCTTATTTTTTTTTTAATGACATCCTTTAGACTAAAGTTTTGAATAATTCTGGCCTGAAGCTTTGAAACAAACAATCCCTTTTGGTTCAGTAAAACCACCCCTTGGATATATAAGAAACATAAAAGTTATTAATTTTGAGCCTTTATTTTGCAGTTCTTATCTGGCATTGACACAATTACTGAAAAACAAGGACAAAAATAACTATCTAAATTAATTAATTACTATACTCCTGCTTATTGCCTGTGACTAAATGCTCATCCCCCCAAACTCATCCTGAAATTGTAGCAGCAAAGGTATAGAGCAGATATTAATCACACATCTTTACATAGATAACTTTATCTACAACGAGCTAGGTAACTTTGCCATTCATTTTAAGTGGAAAAACACAGGGTTTTTCCTCCCTAAGGGATGAATAAATACCAATTTCTAAAAGTGAAACAGCGATGGGTGCAATTTATATTTCATCCAAAGGAACTTGGTTTTTTCAAAACAGCTCACAGTTTCCTTCCAAATGTGAACAACTGCATTTGTGTAGTTCTGAATTTGATTTAGGGTGGCAGATTTTACCTCAAGCTACTGCAAAGTCAAACCATGCTCAATTTTATATTAATTACTCAGGAATTGTGTTAAATAATGTCTGAAAAACTTTGTCATTAACGAGAGTAGCAGTTGTTTATTCTCACACACACCAGAGGTACCTGAACAGTACAACCAAAAGCAAAATATGATGCATCATAGCACAGATGTGGGGAATGAAGCAAACTTACCTTCTGTGCCTCAATGATTTCTTTTCCCAAGCTAATGGCATAGCAAATCTATAAAAGGAAATATATGTAAAGTTCAGTTTTGGTTTGGGAGCTTTTTGTTCCTTACTTGAGATTAAAACACAGAAGTGTCAATGCAAACTTAGGTCTTAAATACAAGTCTAGAAGCAGAACCCCAATTCACCATGCTAACCACATAAAAATAAAGCTGTATCATTTCAGGTTCTGCTTCAAAGGTCACTGATGTTCATAAATCTTTGTACGCAACTCTGGTGTATTCGCCAAACTTTAAATCCAAATCTGGATGATCTTTTCCAGTGCATGTTTTTTCAGACAAAATTTCTCCAGCACATTCCTTATATTTCACAGTCTGTTGTTCTCTTACGCAGCAAGCAGCTAGTGCTGTTAACCCAGTCTGGCAGCCTTGTCTGTGAGAGCTTTACAGATGTGCACGTCTCAACAGGGCCAGCATGCATTTTTGTTAGTGCTGGTGCTTGACACACCCTCCCTTGTCTCCTAATGTCTGTATCAGCCATCACAGCCTTTCCTCCCTCTTGTAGGTGGTGCTGCATGATCTACAAATTTGGTCCTTTATAGATGTAAACCAGCAAAGGCTTGTGTGTTAAGCAAGTTTTCCTGGCAAGGAATTAAGCTGCTCTCGCTTCTAGAGCACTGCTTCCCAGATGTGTAAGCCAAGAAGCCTAAGAAGTGTCTTCCCAATGAAACTGAATGTTATGCAAACCTTTTCCCCTTCTGTGTTGCTCTCAAAAACATAGGCGCTCATAGATTCTTCTCCCAGAGTCTCACTGAGATGGACCACAAAGCCAATCAGTCTCTTGTTATCCTGATGAGCAGCAAACTGTGTCACAGTAGAGAGTTCAAACTGGAAAAGAATAATAAAGAACCTATTTTTTTTTTAACCCACATGTGGTCAAACTTGGTCAAGAGCTCAAGTTCATGTGGCCAAGTAGTCAATGCTGTGGTCAAAAACCAGATACAAAAGGAGAGTTACTTACACTTGTTCGTGTAACTTGGGTTTGAGGATCTATTAATCTGCAATTACGGGTAGAGGAAAAAAATAAATTATATTAGAGTGATTCTTATTAATTTCCAGGTGCTTTATAATAGTAAGGCCATCACTATTGCAGTTCTGCAGATGAGGAAACAGAGACAGAATCAAATGCTTTTTCTTTGATTTTAAGTCATTTGATGGTAAGGTTCAGCACTGAACCCTGACTCTGAGCTGCCTGAGATTTACAGGTCATAGTATCTTTCTGAATCCCTAATTTGGGAAGCAGCCTGTGTGGGACTAATACCCAACACGCACATGGACATAAAGGCACCCCAGCTAAAGTGGATGCCTTGTATCAACATACTCTACAGTGACAATACTGACACTGGGACAACACTGGCTCTGGGGCTGTTACTACATGTAAGGAAAGAGCATCTCCCAATGCATTGTTTGTGCGTCTCCTTCTGCAACTTTGTTGGGCCTGTATCCCCACTGTATCCTCTAAACTTGGGTAGGATCTTCTTACAAGTTAGGAGGATGATTTCTAGATACTAGAGTAAGAAAAGAGACATTTTTACTAAGTAAAGTAAATCTTGGGATCTTGCTCCCTCAAAGGGTGTATTTCTTGGAAAAACAAAACCAAAAATACTTCACTAATCACAAGTTCTATGAAGGGCACAAAACACTGCCAAATTGCAGATTTTACAGTACCTGAGGTTCTTGCTGGTGACCATGAGATGGGATTCAGTCATACGGAATATGTTGTGAATGGCACGAGCAGCTAAGACTTGTCTCATAGCTTCATAAATCACCTCACTTGTGTCATCGGACTGAACAGCCATGGATCCTAAAAACCGCACTACGAACATCTGCTGCAGGAGTGAGTCTGGAAGGTAAAGGCATGACTTGCTTCACTGTGCTCCTTCCAGCTGAAGTTATCAAGGAAATTCTGTTTTCCTGCTATGAGCCAGGCAAGGGCTCTGACCCAGTTTTAAACTAAGCTTGAATTGACACCAAGTAGGAAAAAAATAAATAAATAAAAAATAAAAGTGCAGTTGTTTGCAACATTTAAAAGTGTAACTGCTCCTTTATACCTTATTTGATTAGATAGTGAAATTCACTTGCCTGTCTTGTTATCAGCTGCACATAAACCTGTGATAAATTTGTGGCTGTTCACAAGCCTTGGCTTCCATCAAATGAACTCTGAGCTTTAAACCTTTTACATTCCTTACTTTCTTCTACGTCCTTCTGACCTTCCATGCCACTGGTTCCAGCAGGTTTTCCATTAAATCCTTTTTTGCTCACTGACCATCACCGCAAAACTCCTGTCAGCAACTAAGTAACCACTGTGTGACAAAGCCGTGGTTTGATCAGGCTCCCTTTATGGTTGATGGTGAGCAAGGTAAAGCAAGATGAGTCCTATGGAATGTGACTGCTCAAAGGCCACGACAGCTGTGTCTACATTGCACAAGACACCACAAAGAGGCTGCAGACTTGGAAGACACCTAAGCACTGTACTCTTCTCTGTGCTGCAGTGGAGCTGGGTGCTGCTGCTGCCAGTATGAGGTGCCTGCTTCTCACAGCTACTCTCCTGTCAGGCAGCTTTCCCCACGCTGCCTTGCCATGGGACAGCACATGCAAGCGAGAGTGTTTGGATCAATGGGTTCTGTGAGTAGTTTTCTGATGGGGGCTGCTGGTTCCAGGCAGTGGCTGCAACTGGCCCTGGAGAAGAAGAGTAGAGCCAGGGACTGAGCCCTGCATGTACTGGCAGAGGCAGGTCAGAATGGCTGACTTTTACTGGGATATCACTGGGAGAAGGGAGAGAGGGCAGCACTAAGAAACTCCTTGTGCTGGAAAGAGACACATTGCTGCTGGTTGTGGTATTTTGAGCCTCTGTGAGGTTGAGATTGTGGATTTCAGAGTACATGAGGTTTAGAACTGGCTACTAAGCAGCCTCAAACTTCAGGGGAATTATAATACAGTCCCATCAAACCCTTTCTAAATAAGTCAACAGCTATTTAAAACAAACAAACAAACAAACAAAAAAAAAAAACCCCAAAACCCAAGAAAACCAAATCTTTTTGCCTTTAAACATTTGAAATAAACCTACTCTGGAATACAGCTTGGACCGTCAAGGAAAAAGGTGTTTGTTTTCACATGTAGTGATGTTTAAAAGACTGGTTTCTGAAAGGTAAGTACCTTCATGTGACTGATGCTCCATGGTGCCAGGTGCTTTCATTCAGAGGCACTGGCTGACATCTGAATTAGGCCTAAAATCATGACTAATCTTACATGAAAAAACAAAGCACTGACCTTCCTCCTCATCTTTGCTGCTGTCTTCAGTTTCCCCAAATGGGTTTGCACGCCTACAAGATAAGAAGAAAACCTCTTAATTATAGATTCTGGTCACCACACACCAGTGTTGTAAAACCTCGTTGTCTTTCCTGAAATCACCCTGTGAAAGTTACTGATCCTTGTCTCTGGCCATACCTGCCACCTCTGTTCTGGTCCAGGAATTCTGTGGCAGGCAGTACGATATCAAACTGAATTGGTGTTCCAGGAGCAATGAGCTGTGTGGAGTCGTGAATACCAGCTGATGCGTTGGGAATTATTTTATCATTTTCCATATTCTTTACATTCTGGCTAAAGTAAAAATGGAAAAAAAAAAAATCAGTCAATGACATGCTATCCAAGATTATGCTATACAAGATTATTAAAAAATTCAAAGCTGGGTTGAACCAGCATACGGAAACATAAATATTTTCCTATTTACCTGTTACTGAGGACACTGATAAAATCTGTTGAGTTTTGTTTGGGGATTTTTTTGTACCCCAAAATTATTTAGAAACAAAGGAAACGCTGGAATATTCAACCTGCGTGCACGGCAACTCTTCCAGTGTGGACAGAGTTGCAGCAGGCAGGTTCTGTTTGCCTCCCTCCCCTCCTCTAGCGGCCAGGCTTTGCAGCTGCATCACCCGTTCCTACAGCACCTCTTTCTCAAGCGTCTCAAGGTGTCAATCCCAATCCCGACATCTTTTTAAGATCGCGTTTAGCCACAAGTTTGTTACAATGTGATGGCTAAGGAGAAGTGTTGCACGCTGGGTCAGATTTCTTCCCGCAGCTTTTTTTTCAAAGGGAATGAAGTGCTACGTTTGCCACAGCTACAGAAACAGTAACTGTACACACAGCTATGTAGGGAGTGTTGGGTTTATTAACAGCATCTTCTATTTCTAGGAAGTTTTCTGGTTGCATACAGATGTAAAAGTGGCATGGGAGGTTTGTTGTCAATGAAGTAACTATGTCCTCCATGCAGTGAAACAGATGTCAGTACTCTTCTATTTATAAATCTGTAATCAAAGTGAAACAGCTGTACTGTGAATAAAATTAGAAAGAAATTGACTGGCATTCCCCAAGGCTATAGGGAATCTTTGGAATCTGTAAGCAATCATAATAAAGGGAATAATAAATCCTAAATAAGGCACTGGTCTGAGAGGCAGAATATCTGGAAAAGGATTTAATTTCTAGAAGTAAATATGTGGGTCAGAATTTGCAAATTTGTTTACAAAGCTTGCAGAGAAGTCAGTGTGACACAAGCTTGCCCTATTTTATTTATTACACTACTTTTGAAAGCAGGATTTCGGTCCAGCACTGGGCTTGGAAGCCAACTCTGATGATGAAGTCTGAAGAATTCCCACTGGGCAAGATGCTAGGATCATGTAGACACAAAGAAACAATACGTAACTTAGGTATTTTGAACATAAGCATATCCTAGAACATTATTAATGATTTTTGAAGGAGAAGAGCTTTATTGATTGACCTGAATGAGCACAAGAGAAAAATCATAATTATTCTGACAGCAGTGTAAGGCATATTCTGGTGACAGTCTGACAGGAACTGCTTGATGTAATATGCAAGAATATAGTTCCTTCAATGTAAAAACCGGGAACTCAGCTGTATTACCCTCATTACAAGTAATTCTCTTACAGCAAAGCATTGTGTGTGTTTCTAAAACGGCAAAATCCCAATGGAAACTGCAAGGAGCTTCAAAGCTGTGACGCAGAGCAAGAAGCATTACCCTCAATATTTGGCATCTCTTACGGCTTTCAAACATCAGAAGTAGAGGAATTTGCTGGAACACACAGGCTTGTAAAGCCAGGGCCTGGACAGGGCTTTTTGTGGGGTGACTGTTGCCCTGTGAAGAGAGCAATGACTGAGCACACAGTCTCTAGTCCCTGCAAGTGAGAATGTTACCTGGGGTGGTGAACTTCATGTTTTTTCCCCAAGCTGGTGATGGGAGTCACTGCCTGTAGGGCTGTCTGATTTAACTTGATGGCAGCTGCCTATGAAAACAAGACCGGACAGCTCTGTTACACACGTACTCTGCATCACCACATAAAGAACAATGGGAAAGCAAGTTGGAAGGAATGGAATGGTGGATGGAACAAGCTCTTACCTCTGGATTGTCAGTGAGATAGATCTGTCTGGAGATGTTGTTGATGGCACATATCCACTGGAAGGGAAAAATGAAACTGAACTCCTCAAGCTCACTTGTACACCAGAATAACAACATTAAGAAAATATTTTTACCTCCTCGTATTCTTTCTTGCTTTCTGCTTGAAGGGTTATACCCCTAAAATACAAACATAGTGTATCAGTGCTAACAATGGACTGTTTGACTCCAAGTCTTACAATAGTATCACCAAGCTCTGTATCTATTAACCATCAAAGGAACAAATATCATGAGTAAGCTGCAGCTAAAGGATACTGTATGTGCTGTTCAGGCAGTTGTAGGGGAGGATGGGAAAGAACATGCTTCTAATTTGGCAACACCCTCCTGGAAACCCAGAAAGTCTTACTATTACAGCAAGCATGTTTTACATGAAACAGCATCTGAAAGGGTGGGCGTGACTGGCTGTCCTGAAATAAAACCTGTCTCATACGCTTTGCCTGTAGGTGTAGTGATCTGAAAGCAGTATCTTCTGTCTTCACAGTCTACAGCCATAACAGAGCAGTTGTCCAGGTCCTGAATCAATCCTCCAGCTACTGCTCCCCTTGGCTGACACATCAAGTTGCCACCTTGAGTGAAGAAATACAGTCTTTCCCAAGTTGTCGTCACCAGACCTGTTTTACTGAAGAGAAGATGCAGTGATAAAAGACTCATTACTATTTAGAAACAACTCCAAACGTACATGAAACTGCAAATGTATCCTGATGCTAATCTGAACTTTATCTTCAGCCCTGGAATTTATTTTATGAGTCTCTGTTAAGAAGTAAAAGCAGCATCTATTCCTAGCAGAGACTAATTTTAATGAAAGCTGAAGAATTAAGCTAATCCCAAACATCTTAAGTTTAAAACATTCTCTGCAACATATCCTAGTTAAGGAATAAAATAATTATTGGTCTTGAGTAACTGACATGAAATGCTATTAAAATTAATTTAAAAAAAAAAGTGTTTTCAAGCTGAAGAGCAGCATGAGCAGCAGGGGGTGGGGGATAAAGCCAGGCTTGCTACAGATGAGCCTAGGGGTGGTGTGGTGGTCAGGTCAGCTAGTCAGGCAGCCTTACTGAAGGCCCAGCTTAAATGCCTTTATACAAATGCATGCAGCATAGGGAATAAACAGGAGGAATTAGAGATGAGGGTGAGCCTGCAGGGCTATGATCTCATTGGCAGCACTGAGACCTGGTGGGATGGCTCCTACAACTGGAGCATCAGAATGGACGGTTACAAACTCTTTAGGAAGGACAGAGAGGGGAGACAGGCTGGGGGTGTTGCCCTCTATGTCAAAGACCAGCCGGAATTCACGGAGCTCTGCATGAATGCAGGAAATAATCCCTGTAGGTGAATTCAACCAGAACTAAACTTCTGCTTTCAGGAAAACAGTCTCAAATGCCTCTAATTTGGTTTAAGCTTCTAAAACACATTTTCAAATATGACAGAGATACTTAGGAGCTGACAGGTACAGCTACCACTGATTCAGAAGCCTCAAATATCATTACCTGAGGAGTCTTTACAACATAAAAAGAAAGAAATGTAGCAACTAGTCAGCAATTAAACAAACCAGCAGGTAACAACAGTCTTCTTACTTTCTAAGATTAAGGTAGCCAGCCTTCTGGATGAGATTTCTATTGATAGCAGGTGAAGTTACATCAGAATCTGGAGTGTAAACAGATTCATTGACTGCAATTAAGTCCTGCTGGGATACCCTCATTTTTTCTGCTTCAGCATCCAGCTCTCCCTGTATACTGGAAAAAAAAACACAACACAATAAGAAACTCAAAGCTATCATTAGTCAATTTATACCAGGATATAGCTAACATCTGTAACCCCAAATTAACAGAAATACCGGTTGAGATTATACTGGAGAGCAGTGGAAAGAAAAAGCCTATTTCTAGAATAGACTTTTTAGGAAATGTAATGTAAGACTACATGTCCAAGGCATTTTCTAAGGACTAGATAAATCAGAGCAGTCAGGAAAGAATGGAAGGAAGAGGCACACAGAAGGGAACTGCTCCAAGAAAATGTCAGCTGAGCCTAAAGAGACAAGATGCATATACTCTGAAGGTATCAACAATGGATTAAGGAAAACAAGGCTATCTTTGGCAGGCTGGCAGCAAAAGCACAGTTAGGATTTCCCCATGTTCTTTATTTTGAAAGCCCAGCTTGCAGATGTTATTCTCAATATGGTCTCACACAGTAGCTATGCTTTCATTTTTGCAATTTGTACTAAATGTAGCTATCTTCTTTCCCCAGACAAATATATAGAGATAATGATCAGAATTAATAAGATTGTTTTGTAAAACTGACAGGAGCACATGATAAATCCTTAAATGTTGAGACGGAAGAGTTTATTTTTTGAGAGAAGCAGTTTGTAAAGGCAATGCTTGCATGAATTTACACTGCTGAACACACATTTATGTTACCCTAGCATAGCAGCACAGTTCAAAATAGGCTTTATTATAGTATCTCCTGGCTTTCACAAAGCTTAATTCCTGCAGCTGCACAACATGCAAGAATTCCTGCCATGAGACCACCGATTAGCTGATCATGGATTTTCAACAGTAGGTTTTCCATTACTTCAGAGCAGTACAATAAAAAAAATAAATAAATCCATAGTTCAAGTCTCATTTTAGCTTCAATTTCTGTTTGCAATACTGTCTTTCACTTCGGTGTGGTTCAGAAAACATCCTTGGTGGAGGCTGGCAAAACTTAGCTCTTTTTGAACGTATCTGTAAATATCCAGTTTGCTGAAAGTGGTAACTGTGAAGAGGTATCTGAGTGCAAAATTTAACTTGGGAAGTAAGTGATAGCTCCTTGCAGAAGCATCATACATATACTGCAGTGGTGAGTATCTGTGTAGTTATAATCTTCCTGTATGACACACTGGGCATAAAGGAGGAAGAGAGTAGCCCTTTTACTGGAACAAGCAAACAATGAGAGGTCGGTCATCATCATGTGCTAGTGAAATACCTTAATTTTTTCTCTTTTCAGCTCTACTGGCAGACAATTGTTGGGAGCCACTTAATTTTCAGAGGTTCCCCCAGACCACTTGACAGTCCCATCACACTGATAAACTTGCCTTGTTACCCTCAACCTTAGTCAGTCTGTGTTTCACTTGCAGACTCTTCTGATCAACACCCATGAATTTTTAGCAGGAATAATCAGAAAAAAAATAAAGGCCTGTTGTTTTGAAAACATGACTTAATTAATACTATAATTTAAAAAAACCCAACACAACCCTATTAGATAAATACATCAAAGGCCTTAGATCTCCATGCCAGCTGCAAGCACTGTTTGGTGCACCTGTGGACAAGGAAGCAGCAAATGATTTTCCACCATCTGTCTGTACTGGCCCTCTGTGAACCTGAGGTCTGGCTATGTGTCTGTGAACTGGGGTCCTGAGGGAGCTGGCTAATGTCCCTGCAAGGCTTCGTCTCTATCAGCTTCAAAAGTTCACTGCAGTCAGGGAAGGTTCCTAATGACTGGAAAATAAAAGGCCAGTGCCACACCTGCCTTTGAGACAGGCAAGAAAACTACATGCCATCCAGCTATATCTCAGTCCCTGGGAAAGTTATGGAACAAATTCTCCAGCCATTTCCAAGCCCACAAATTGAAAGACTGCAACTGGCAACACAGACATACTGTGGGCAAATCATTCCTGACCATCCTGATTACTTTCTGTTATGCAAGGACTAGTGTGATGAACAGCAGAGTGGTGGATGCTGTTCCACTTTACTTCAGCAAGACCTTTCACGTGGTCCCCCATAGTATCCTTATTGCCAAACTGGTGAAATACAAATTGCAGAAGACAATGACAAGATGGGTAGAAATCATGGTTGGACTGCTGAGCTCAAAGGGTTGGAATCAGTGAGACAAAGCCCAACTGGTACCCAGCTATTCATCATGTTTCTCATGTGTCAATGCTGAGATGTACAGGTTTACAGACTTTAATATGTGCTGGACAACCCATAGGAGCAGATGACACCAAACTGGGAAGACTGACTGACAGATATGGTAGAGTGGAGAGCTGCTGTTCAGAGTGATTTGGACGTGCTGCAGAAATGGGCAGACAGGAAACTCACAATGTTCAGCACAGACAAACACAAAGTCCTGCCTAGGATGGAGTAACTCCCTACAACTGCAAAGGATGGGAGGCATCTGGATAGAAAACAAAGTACCTGGGTATCATAGAGGACAAGTTGAACATGAGCCACCACCGTGCCCTTGTGGCAACAAAAGGACATTCCCTTCTTGGGCTGCCTGAGCAAAAGTATAGCCAGTGGGTCAAATAATTATCCCCATCTGTGCAGCACTTGTGAGACCTCAACAGGAGGACTGTGTCTAGTTTTGGTGACCCAGGACACAAATGACAGATACAAATGAGAATAAGTCAAGAGAAGAGCCACCAAGATGGCTAGGGGGCCAGAACACTGGACATGAGAAAAAGCTGTGAGAATAGTTTTTCAGCCTCATGAAATGAAGGCTAAGGGGAAGATCTTACTTAACTACCTGATGGGAGGGCATACAGCAGGTTGAGCTAGACCCTTCTTGGAGGTGTGCAGTGATAGGATGATGACAGTGGACACGAACTGTAACCAGATACTCTGTATGCCATGTGTGAGAGACAGAGAGAGATGCTCAAAACTTGACTGGACACAGCACTGAGCACTCTGCTTTAGTTTACCGTGCTCTCAGCAGGAGTGTGGACTAGATGACCTCTCAAGGTCCATACTGCAGCAGCTGTTCTTTGACTTCCAGAGGAACAATACTAGCAAATATTTGATTTCTTTATTGACTTTTCCAAACTTAAGGAGCTATTAAATGTATCCAAGTTACTAGGAAAACTCATGGGGTGGGAATATAAGAATACTTGTCATTGCATACCTTAAAGTCCTTAATATCTACACCTATGCAATAAGCAATCTTCTCTCTACTTCCTGCCCAAGTGGTTAAACCTTTTGGAGAACATAAGCACACAGGCTGTACACAGCAGGAACAGAGATCCAAGTAGTCCACAGTCCTTTCTCTGACAGTTCAAAAAGCTTATTGAAAAGTACACACAAATACCTAGGATTCTTCTCCCATTCTCCTTCCCAGTCTTTTGTAGAAGTTGGTGATGTCCTGTAACATTTGAAATAATGTAGAGATGTGGTCCTGCACTCCAGTCTCACTAAACAGTATCTGACTGGCCAGATGACTCTTGCATCATGGTGTTGTCTGTTTCATGTTAACTTATTTCCAGCTTTTCCATATCTTCAGAAAGCTGAGAATTTCCTAAGCTCCTAAATCACTTCCAAAATGAGACCAGCTGTGTGTATCTTAACGCCTAGCCAAGTCATATGAGAGGCTGAGTTATAAAGGCTGAGTAGTAGCATCAGATCTGAATTAAATTAGACAATATTTTGCAAGGCACTAGTTTTTCAACATTATCATTAAATGTCAGAATAAGAATTATTTAAATTCCATTTTAAAATAAAAAAGAACAGTGCTCTCATTTTTAACATAAGTGCTACTTTGATCAATCTTTTCATCAGTCACTTTTGTTGTATCACAAATTGCTTCTGACAAAACTGCCCTGGCATCTTCATGGTTCCCAAGCCTGGGATTCCTTTTCCTGAGGCATGTTTCTTCTATCTCAAAGGTAGAAAAGAGAGAAAAGCTGACAGTTCTGAAGTTATATGCATTTGTGGCAATGAGACCAATTGGTTACTGAGAATATTTTAGTGATCTGTCTTCTCTTATGTGTTCTTACACTGCTAGAAATAGTCACTGTATAAATTAAAAGACTTTTAAATATGAAGACTCAGTTTCACAATCAGCTTAAACAGATGCACGACTATGCAATTCTGTAGCTGCACAATGGGTCTCATGGGCTTGTCATTCTAAGAAAACAAATCTGACAAATAAAAAGCTTTTAGCCTGATTAGCAAGCAGGTCTGACTCACTGAGGCCTTGTGATTCCCAGCAGTAAAGCAAGCAAGCCAGGAGTGGGCAGCATGGGCTTCAGGGGCTCTGTAATCTTCAGTCAGGAAACTGTCCTGTGTCAGTAATTGCTGAGCTGCACAGTGTCATTCATAATGTTGCAAGCTTTTCATTTGTTTTTTTCCAAAGACATCACATTCCTGTACTAGTTACATTTGAGTTTTACTTTCAAGCCTTGCAATGTGACAGACTTAAAACACAAAAAGCAGATTCAGCAAACCAACTAAGCAGCCTGTTTTTGCTTCCATTTGCTACTGTGTAACCTCCAGAATTCAAATCCTTCAGACTCTGGAAAACAAGGGCTTATTCTATGGTGAGAATCCAATGGCAGGATCCTCATTGTATCTATAAGACACAAGCAAGGCAATCAAGCTTTACTAAATACAAGGCACTATTTAAAGGGAGTTTAAAATCTGTCCTCCAGGTTGTACAAATCCTATGTAGACTGTAGAGGGATTTATTTCAGAATTGAGTGTGAAAAGTATTAATAAGTATAGAGGTAAAGAAAGTGACGAATCATTTAGTGAAAGAATCTACTATTCAGGGGGATTGATTGTAACACTGCTCTCAAATTGACAAGTATGCATTATTTAAAATGCCACCAGAGTCAGAATAAGTAATGACCTGGATGCAGATCAACATGAAAGGTATGAAGGAATAATGTGAAGGACTCAGTTAGTGTTCCAGCTGATTTAGAATAAATTATTAGTGTTCTCTCTAATATGATAACATTTTAAATGTAAAGTTTACATTTACAGGGACTTAATTATCAAGAAATTGTGGATCTTCACTACAAGAGGGGGAAAGAGAGGAAGAAAAAATAACTGCAACATTAGGAGCACAAAACTGAGGCAGTTTATTGAAATAAGGACTTAGCCAAAACAGGTTGAACTCAGTATACCAATACAGCCTATAACGGCTGCAGTGAATATGTTTTGTTTGCCTTGTGTAGCATCTAGCACAAAGGGACATATAGTCCCTAAATCCTTATTTGGGAGGTTAATGGGTTATTGTTACAGTATTATTACAGAAGACCCAGCAAGTATAAATACCTCTAATTCAGAATGCACTTTAGTTCTGTTGTATTAATTCTATTAAACCACTTAAGCACAGACTTCATGTTTTATGTCTGTGAAGACACAAGGATGTAGGAAAGCATATGAACGCTTCACAGTATATAGCTTCGGGCTACAATGTAAAAATGCTCTCTACAGTGCACTGACAACATTTTCCTTTACATGTACAAACATAACTCCTTCCCACCTGCTGCTTTAACAAATTATGCCCAACAGTGCAATGCAAGCATGAAAGAACTCTCATGAAAAAGAAAAAGAGGCAGTCTCTATTACGTGCTGCAGGTTACAGCACACAAGTATTGTGTTACCTTTGAACCATGTCTGAAACAGATGACAAAAAGCTGTCCATTCTCTTGGAAAACATCTCTGCTCCTTTCTTAAAAAAGTTGATCTGAAAAATAAATTTTAAAAATTGAAAACAAAGAACAACAGACACTGGAAGTTATCTTGGCTTTGGCAGACAAATAACAGATTGTGGGGACTGTGTGAGCAGCAATCCCCTTCTGACTGGTACTTTGGGCTGGTAATCAAACACATGGTCAAACAGCTGCACTGCCTTGCTTTGTATTTCTCCATTTTGCAGCTTTTCACTCTTTCACACACTCTTTGACACACATAAGCTACTGTCTGCTGACAGGTATGTTTCCAATTAACTTGCTAAATGACTGAAACAAGGAAACAGGCAGCCTTCCCTCATCCTAGCACCCTGCAGAATTGGGTCTGGTGCTGTCCCGAGCCACTGTATCAAAAGAGATGGGACAAAATCATCCAATAGGTCTAGCAATCCAAATGTGACTGCAAACTCCAACCTGGACATTTTTTAACTGTTACAGCAAAGTCAGTCAGGAAGGTGATGAAGTGTAGCTGTGCTAGCAAAAGCCTCCAGGGCAGTTATATCAGCTGCAGATTTACCCCGGATTTTGTTCTACTGAAGGAGTTTAAAAAAGCTACTAAGGCCAAAGTGCACATTTTGTGACAGAAGATGAATGTCCTTGGCTGGTGTGGCTCAGCAGGCACGCACTTCATGTAGACGTGACCTTGGATTACCTGCTGTGGAACACACAGCCATCATTAGGACCTACTGGCAAACGTGGGAAACATGGACGTGGCAAGCACGTGTTCAATTAATTTGCTTTAAAAAAAAAAAACAGATCTGTGAACTTCTCCAGAAAGAGCTGTAAAATAAAATTTTTGCCTGTTAGCTCTTTCATCCAATTTTACTTGTGATTCCACTCTTTTTGCCCTAACCTTGGGTTGTGGGATTCCTCTTACCTGCAGCTCAGATTTCTGCAGCCATTATTGACCACAGACTCCCTTTACAGCCAGAGGAGAGAAAGCACACTGTCTTAAAGAACGATTCACCTATTCTATATCAGAAGCCTACTTCAGGAGGGAAGAGCTCTAAATTCCACTGATGCTAATGAGAGACTGACACACCTAGATTAAATGTTGACGTCAGTTTTCAGCCAGATAAACTGCATATTAGCCACTGCTTCTTCCAGAAATTCCTTATGGCCAGCTCCTTTGTTGGAAATGTGAACTATGAGGCACATGTTCTGAGTAATTAATAAAGAAAATACATACTCGGGCTGAAGGGTAGCTCACAGTATTTAAGCATCAATATCAACCGGCTTCTGGCTACTCAGTCATTCCCATGACAACCTAAGACTTTCCTGTATAAAAGCACTGAGATACTGCAGTTTTGCCAGATAAAATCTAGTGAAAGAAAGCTCTGTTCTAGTTCCAGTAAGGAAAACCAAGGCAGTTCTTTTGCCCAGTATAAATACAGCAGAGAAACAGTGTGAACTCCCATGGTGAGGAAAGTGACTGAATTCTCATTTATTACCTATTTTATTTGGGGCACATGTTCTGCAAAAGACACAGGACAGTGCAAATCCACACTGCAATCTCAAATAGAGCACTGCATCCATTTTTTCTGTTTTCACAGCCCAGTTCTCATCTTCCCAAGGCTTATTTCACTGATGTCAAAGCACAACAGGCCCTTAAAATGGGTGGTAATGAGGACCAAGTGCTGTGAAAGTGCTAGTTTGTTGGTCTTCCTGACATCCTGGAGGGTCAGATTATTTGCCTTTCTAGGCATTTTACAGACTTGAGAAACACTCTATCAGATTGCTGGCAGAATAAAGATTAGAAAGAGGATTTGCCAGCCCACTCTACTGTTCTGTCCTTCCAGTTCTCCAGTGCATGCTCTGTTCCCTGTCGTGTACACTCCTCATCAGTATGCTGAACATTATGTGCCACGAAGGGAGCTGCTATACAGGAGAGTCTGTGCAGACAGAGTAAACAGTGGGAGTAAATGCTGCTGCACTGATAGCTTAGCTGTGAAAAAATGTGAAACACCAGTCTGATTTTGCATATAAGTTTACTGGGTTTTTTTTTCTTCATTGGTGTCTTCCCTCAGTATCTAAACATTCAGCTATTTGCCACAAACAAAATCAGTTGTTAGATTCTAGGCAAACTAAGTAGAAATTTACCCTCCCCCATGACCATTGGTCAAAAAAAATTAAACTCCAGAACTACAATGAACTACTCCAGAACTACTTTTCCCAGAGACATGCCTAAGTGATATAGAAGCTTAATTGTCCACACCTGTCCTCGTGTATATCCTAGCATAGGTTCCATCATTGCCACTCTCTTCCTGTACTGCAGAGCATTCAGGGCACAATAATATTGCAGAGATGAAAGGTGCTGCTTTCTTCTTGCATTTGCCACTTCTTTTGCCACTTCTGCCTTAAGCTGAATAAAAATTGACAAAGAGTTTGACAAAGTGTTACTGTGCATATGGATATTTTTACTGATTACTGTCAAGTTATCTTTAAAGAACTCTCCTTACAGAACTTATCCACATTAAAATAAAGGATGAGAAACTAAGAAAGCAAATCCAAAACCCAAATTAAGTACTTCAAGCCCTTCTCTGCCAAGATACATAAGCATTTGGGGGGTGCCCTGACTACTACCTACACAAACAGCATTCTGGAGCTGATCTCAGGGCGATAAATTTATTTGCAGCTGAGACTGTCACACAAGCCTGTGAATGCAGAACTGGGAAATGAATAATCCACAATATGCTCTATCACATTCCGTTCTGTAATGGGTTTCCTTTAAATTAACATCCTGTAGAACTGATGCATTCTTAGGATAGGGACAATCACACACTTTTTAGCATACAGGGATATATTTTGAGATAGGGGTCTAGTGGGCAAAAAAGAAGAAATGTAAAACAATTCCACCAACAGAATTATATGCACTGTAAATGGAATGACAAACCACACAGAGAAATTTATCAGGAAGGCAGATACGAAAAAACTGAATGCTTTACAAACAGCAGACACAAGGCTTTGTGACAGTTACCAATGAATTGCACCAAGTGATACAGCACCATCACATCAGCTGTACAACAGTACACCTATACAAATCTATTTATATCCATTTGGATTGCCTCTGTCTGAAGAGCTCCCCTGGATCTGAAGGGCTCTAGTTCAGCACAATACTTGATCACTTGCCTAACTTGGCAAAAACAGGTATAACTTCGCTAAATTGACGTTTAAAAGCTTTGTGTCTGCTTTGAAACGAAATCACAAGTACTCTTGAGCTACAGTGAATCTAACTGATGAACTCTCCCAAGTTTGTAAGTCAAAAATGACACAGAACAGCTGATGAAAACTTTTCCGTTTCTCTTTCACATTCGTTACCTTTTCATTTTCTTTCCTTTTCGGTAACCTGCTGTACTTTGCCATGGACGCGTCGTGTTCTGTAGACAAGGAATATTACTTTTTTAGAAAAGTGGTGTGTGCGTGTAGATTAAAAATGTCTTCTGTGCTAGAAGAGGTGCACACCATTAGACCAAACAAAACAGGGAAACATACCATTGCTAGCAAGGCCAAAAAGGTCCTTCAAGGTGCTCACTTCTGGAAAAGAGAAATCAAACATTCAGAGTAAAAACAGCTGTAAACACCGTGTTCAACTGAGACCATTTATGACACATTTAATGCCTAGGTCACACCAAACCTTTCAAAGCAGAGATGCTAAAGTTCTCCCTGTCTTGCAAAATATAAACCAGATAAACTGCTAGAGAAAGGAACTGCAGACAGCAAATGATGAGTTGAGTGAGTTTACTTGATTGAGCAAGTTATCACTATGAAAAAGATTCCTTATCTGCCAGTATAATTTACCCAAAGAGGCACCATTTCAGTATGGTAGTTATGACAAAATGCCCACCACTATCATAAATGATAGGCAGTTCCGAACAACTTCCTGATAATGCTTACATGGTATTTTTTGTCATGAAGCAGTTGAGGCTCTGGTTGCAGACTTCACTTGCATTTTCTTTTTACCTCCTCTTTTAAAAACTAGGGGGCAGAATCCGTAAAGATGAAAGCAGAATCATTGTATCAGTGAAACCACATTAAGGAGGTGGGAAAGCATTTACTGAACCAAGATCTTACCATCCAAATATTGCTTTCTATTTGACATTAATGACAAACAAGATATCCATTAATATAGACACCTTAAAGTCTTCACAATTTCAAATGAGATACAAGGAACCTAAGCCAGTTGTTTTGTCTCCCATCAGAATTATGTCTTTGAAAATACATAAACAAGACTGAGATTAGTGAGATGAGAAGTAGGCTTTTAAAAAACATAATTAAAAATTAAACTGCTGCAGTAAAAATTCCTGTTTCTGTTGCATGAGTTGGTTAGAGTGTCCTTGACCTTAAATACCAACTTGCTTCTTTTGAAATTACACTAAATGTTTGCATTATTACTTTGTTGTTTAAGTAATTTCCAAGTTTGTGCAATCAGGTTGCTTTGAACTACTCTTGGATAACATTGTTTTAAAGGGGACTGAATCCTGAAAATGGAGGGAATATACCACACCCTGAAGTTAAAAAAACATTCTTGCTTGTGCTTTTCAAACAAACACAAACTTCTGAAGTGGGATAAACACTGTTTGCAAGCCAGTTCCACTGCTAAATTTCCCTTTTTAGGCAATTACAACATCAGTGACTTCAGTGAAGTTACACTAGTGTAAAAGCAGAGTGACCCAGTAAAGAACAAAGCTGGGTATTTTAAAACTTGCACCATATGGTACATAAAATGTCATGTGGTGAACTTGCACTATTTCTGTCTGAGTAAAAGGATGTACCTCCCAGTGAAATTCTGTACCAGAAAACAAAAAATAACAAAAAAAACTTTTCTAGGAATCATCAAAGAACAAAGTACTACATGGCACTGTGTGTCAGTTTATTATGAAATAAATAAGAAGGGACACATGAGGAAAATTTAAAAGTAAAATATAATTTACCTGTGAGATCCTTTTCCCGAAATTGTATTATTGGGAGAACCATTGTATCCGCAAGCTGTTTTGCCAGTTCAGAATGAAGAATATTGAGCTGAAATGGAGAACAGAGGAATGCTCTAAGACACAATGTAAATAAAAAAAAATAATAATAAAAGTAGCAGTACTCTGTAGCCTGCCATTTGTGCCCAGCAGACAAAAAAAGGATAGAAAGTACTTCAGTGCTTAAAATACATTTCTCAAGATACAAGAGACCGATGGGGATTTTCCCCTAAAAGCTTAATTCCTGCCTAGTGTTGTCCAAGGATCAAAACATTTTTCAGTTCCCGCATACTGTATTAGGGCAGTTCATTGACCATTCATTCTAATGCTTAACTCAACAGGATCAATATATAATTAGCCTTTATTAACAAGTTTTTGTTAGTGTCTACAGCACAGAGTTATAGTCATCATGACCAGAATCTCTTTCCATTCACGAGGGTTACCCGGGACACAACCACAACAGAGGGCAACTACACTGAAAGGTCCCATTTAAATATTTGACCTTCAGAGCAGTTTCTCGTTGCTGTTTTTCTAAGTGCTCCCCCACAATTCAGCATATCAGGACATACTTTAAAGCACTCATGTGACACTGTTTAGGATGAAGACAAGGCTTTCATGCCAGCAGTGGCATGGTAGGAAAATTAGATGGGTTCAGGTAGGATGCCTATCAATCACACTGCTACTGCCTGATACTACAAACTAGGACATGTTATTCTGCCCACTTGCTCTCAAGTATCCTGGAGGCTTTAGGTGGGGTTACACAGGTAAGGATGAAGTCAGTATTTCCCACTACATGATACAAAATTAAACCAGGGTAATTCAGTGCCTGTAGAAGAGACAACTGAGTGATGGGTACCAGAGGTAGCTAACACAGAGAAAAGGAGGCTGAGAAACTAAGCAAGTTCTTGTGAGGGGAAAATGTGACGACAGAACTGAACAGAGACTCTCGGCTTTCTGTTCACAAATGGGATGGTGCTCTTGCACCTGGGAAGGAGAAAGCCCTTGCTTCGATTTATTCATAGTTCACATAGGTAAGTGCAAGACTTGTGACAACAGAAGCTCCTTTCAAGTATCCTCTGAGAGAACACAGGCAGTAGAAGAAGCCTAGGGGAAAAGTTAACCTTCAGGATTCCTCTCACTATATTGTTAGAGTTATCATAGGCTCTAAAATTTTTATCTTATTTTTTGCCCCACAACCCTCCTATCTCCTCTCCCAAACAGCAGACCTCAACACAGGAAAGCAGACTAACTAGAACAACAAGAACTCTTCTGATAGCACAGCCCTACTCACAACAGACAGAGTGATGAGACAAAAGACACTTGAACAAAAGGACATGGATACTAAGTTTATATTGAAATGTTATATGGGCAGGCTTATTAAAAGCATTAGGGAGGTTCCCAAGACTTCACAGCCACCTACTAAGAGTAAAAGTGTTAGCACACGCAGCTGTAGTACCTAACCTGTGTTCCACAGGCATTCTCCAGATACCTCTGGATTCTGCAGGATTGCACAGCACCTAAACTGCAACTTTACTAATTCACAGCTACCCTGCATCCATCCCTGGCAAGTTCTGGCTCAAACTGCAATGTTTAAAGCTTAAAAATGTAAATGTCATTTTTGTAATGGTATGAAATTTAAATGGCCCCAGTCTAGCTGATACATGTCCTGTTTCAGTCTCTTCTCCCAATTCCTCTATTTAGGAAGTTTATCTTTGCTCTGAGGATAGCACATGGGATGAAGCCACAAAAACAGCTCTAACATTCTCCAGAGCTGAAGAAACCATTGTGAAAGGATGATATTATACCTATTTCCTCCCCAGTTAAATGATTCCATAAAACCCAGGCACAATCTGGCCTTCAATGGAACAGCTCAGAATCAAAAAGACAAAGACCAGAAGAAAAATTGCAAGTATTCTATACTGTAAAAATAGAATATTGGCAATTTAAATTACCTCATCCACAACTTTTGAAAAGTAATGAAGGGTGGATATCACTTCTTCATCTCCTTTACCTAAGGCAAAATGCTGAAAATAAAAACACACATTGGTCCATAAATCAAGAAAGGTGAGTTTAAAACACGTGTTTTACTAAAGAGGTAATGAATACTCCTATAAAATGCAATAAAAGATAAAACTAAATAGAAAAACAGTAGAGCATTAATACATAATCTTTTACTATGCTCTTCTTGTTTTAGATGAATAACTTTTGGACAACATATAATTAATGCCTACAATACTAATTTTAAAACCATGGTCAGACAATAGGAACAAACTGGTTTGCACCTTCATAAATTTTTAACTTAAATTTTGCATTGGGTGTTTTTTGTGTGTTTTTGTTTGCTTGCTTGCTTGCTTGCTTGGTTTGGTTTACTGTTTTGGGGTTTTTTTGTTGGTTTTTTTTTTGTTTTTTTCAGATATGACCTAATTCACAGAATCACAGAACCCTAGGGCTTGGAAGGGACCTCGAAAGATCATCTAGTCCAACCCCCCTGACAGAGCAGGGTCACCTAGAGCACATCACACAGGAACGTGTCCAGGCAGGTTTTGGATATCTCCAGCAAATGAGACTCCACAACCTCCCTGGGCAGCCTGTTCCAGTGCTCTGTCACTCTCACAGGAAAGAAGTTTTTTTCTGATGTTTACGTGGAACCTCCTGCGTCCCAGTTTGCACCCATTGCCCCTTGTCCTACCACTAGACTTCACTAAAATTCCCTAGATTTCCCTTCAATTCCCTTGAAGATCCTGGGGAATTTTACAACCTTCACACAAAATCAAGTTAAGCCAATACCCTAAGCAATTCTGGAAACCACCACAGACTTGTTTGCAAGTGCTGAGGCTGAAAGGAAATCATAGGCATATGTTGAACATACCTGCTTTTCATAGGCAAGGAGCTGCTTCGAAAGCTGTTGTGTAGCAAGACACATTTCATTCTACAAACAAAAGTGACATGTTAATAGAAATAACAAAAGGTCTTTAGCTCTGCTGTTACTTTTACCTTCTTACCAGCTTCTTGACTGAATCTGCAACTGCTTACACAAACATTCAGTTGTATGTAAACAACCAACCCCAAAACACCTGCACAGAGAAGCAGTAATAACAGGTACACTTCAACTACTTTGGACAGAGGTAGGATTTGGGGTTTAGTTTCGGGTTTGGGTCCCCCCCTAGCCCCTAAAATAACAAAACCAGAACAACCTCAAACAGGAAAGCTGTTACACCAGCATAAGAATGTTTCACACTGGTTACCTTTCCACAAAACCTAAAGAAACAAAGAGAACCAGTAAATATGCCTTCATATAATGCATTTATACTCTGGGAATGTACTGATGTAATTACACTGCCTTAAGTTGATCCAGGAGTAGAAAACATCAAATACTTCTGAATTTTCATGACTAAACAGCCAATGAAAGTACTTACACAAAGCAAGACTTGTAGGAAGGTTGTATAGCTTTGCTTGACAGCTAGAAAAAACTGACTGGCATTTGCATATGTTAATCTTTACTCAACATACTCCTAGAACTAGTATATCAACTGTTCTGCCTCTGATTTGTTAACAGTGACTCAAAACTGGAATAAAAGAAAAAGGGGCCAGGGGAACTGGGATCTGTCTTAACCCCTGTCAGATCCTTCTCTTCCTCAGGAATGCAGAAAACTAATAACTTAATTTCATTTCATTTTAGACTTCAACATAATCTACTCTACATAATTCATAAGGCCATAGAGAGTTTGTAAAGCTCAGAGCATCCTCTGAACTGCTTTAATAACACCCTTTATACTGGGGCTGGTACAGAAAACCTCTACAACTGGGGCAGAGCTTCTGTCCTCTCTTGTTCTCCCTTGGTTTCCTGAGCACGCAGAGCATGGCACAGTTAACTATCTGGGCCAGAGAATCTGCAACACCCTTTACCTTGGCCTGATGCCACCTCTGACATACTGCATTACAGCCTGGTGGTTTTGCACCACCTTGGCATGACAGGAAGGAGAGTTAATATGAATATCAAGGCACAAATATTTAGCCAGAGTCTTAAGTGTGGCCCAAATGCTCAGTAAGAACAAAGAAATACAGCCACAGCATAGGTAACAGTAGTTGTGTGTAAACACATGGCAGAAAAATGGGTGAGCTAAGTCTGAACAATTTAAAACACTATGATGATAGTACTCACAGGTAGCTGGAGATGGGAGAGCAGAGGCCTTCCATGGTACAAATAAGGGCTCAGAACTGAGTTATCTGTGCCCAAACTCAGATTATGTGCACCACTATTTTAACCTCACAGTTTCTTGTCTCAAACCAATTAGTAATGAGCATTACACTTCATACAATAATAATGCCAAGGATTCATGTAATATTTGCAGGTTCATTATACAGATTGTATAGGGTTTTTTGTATGAAAAAGCTTTTATATAAACATTTGGTATTTAAGTATTTCCAAAGCCAGTGAACAGAAAAGGAAGACATGCCATATAATAAATGAACAAATCTCTTTAAGGGCTCAGGCAAGGATAGCTATGAGCCTTAACAGTCCCCAGGCTGTAAGAATATCTGAAAGACTCTGCCACCTTCAACGTGGGAGCTATCAAGCAATGACCTGATGACAGGAAGGAGGAGACTCCCTGCATGTGGACTGATGACATGAAACAGGTTTGTTTGTATGCATGTGGGTTAAGGCCAAAAATGAATTTATGATTACAAAAAGAAGCAGAAGCTCTTGGGCTTGGGATCTTGTTCAGTTGCACAATACCAAGATTGAGCTGAGTAAGAACTGCAAGAAGCCTAAGTCCTCACACACCAACTGTGATGCCATCTGTCAGTTGTACAGCTGGGTCAGGGTGAGACAAATCTTTTGAAATAAACTGAGTAAATGTGTCCTTTCCCCTCCCCCTCCCCCCTTTTGTTTTAGTTCACTTATTCTTGCAAAGTCTGCAACTGCTTGGTCTCTTCTAAATCTGGAAAATAAACGCTTGTGGCTTAAACTTGCTAACATCAGAAGCTTCAGAATAACAGGCTGACATTAAAAACATCCTATTCCCTTGTGTTAGCCATCCTCAAAAGGTACTGAAGAGCATTATTACTCATCTGTGTGGGACAGTTTGAGGATGGGCAATGCGAAGAGGTGTTTGGAAGAAGAATCTTTCAGTGATCACCACTCCCTAGGAACTGTCTCCAGGATGTGCCAGGATAATAGGGGAAGAGATAAGCCCCGAGGGACTTGAAGGGTGTAAGTTAACAACAACTAACAAGTATTTGACTAGGTGACAACAGTCACACATAGACCTCCAAGCAGACATTCATGGCATGCTACTACAAGTACAGAACACATTGATGGAAAGCCTGGCACAAAATTTACTTCGGGATTTTGGGCTGATTTTGTGACAACAGTTTCACACATCACTGATACTCCATTGTTGCTAGCCAGTTACATTTTTCATATATAGGCTTGGTTCTTTGTGCCAGAACACCACAAATAAACTTGTTACTCAATCCCTGTCCATGTGAAGAGTTACTCCTGGCTCCTTCCTCCTCTCTCCCAACCTCTGCCTGACTCGGTTTCTATTAGAAGTACAAACTCATTCAGTATATCACTAGGAAAAAAAAACCTGTAACAACAACCAAGCAAACACACACCCTTCAAACAGTTGTAAACTAATCAAACTAAGCTAGCAAGTTGAAACACTGCCACATTGCATAAGGAGCAGGAAGTAGGCAAAGTGCTCTGCTGACCTAGTGGTAATACTGCATTGCTCAGCACACTAATCTGGGAAAGTTTGGTTTAATCCTCCTCCCATTTCTTCCTAATCAGCCTTCTCCCCCTTCCCTCCTCCAGTACTAATCAGTCTCAAGCCTTATTATTCACATTGCTTCAAGTGACAGAGCCACTAAATCCAGGAAGATTATTTTAGCAGGTTTTAATCTATTTCCAAGCCATGTTCCCATGCAATACAGTAACATTCACTTCTTCTACTCTGAAATGACTGAAAGTCAGCATTCCACAGCAAAAGCTACCATACAATCCTGGCTGCCTACTCCACATCTCTTCCACATTACCTTGACATTTCAGAAGTCAACAACCTTTTATGGAGTGAGAGAGCTACTGAGATGATGTATTAGACAGAAAACCAAAGTCCTGAACAGAAATCTGGGTATTCTACATCAAGGCAAAATGAAACAATACTGGGCCTTGCAAATGCATTCATTTTCATTAGATGTTTTTACTTAACAGGGAAAAAACATCATAGTAGCATTAGTGCATACGAGAAAGAAGGAAGGACTGTACACACATAAGTACCAAGCAATCAGTTATAATTACAGATATGCTGAGTTTTTTTTTTTCTTTTTCTTTTTTAACCTTGTTTCACATGCTAGCCCTACAATAGATTCACTGATCACTAACAACTGTTCACAAAGTAATGGAAGTGGTGTCTTGAATCTAGCATAAAGCTACCAGAAATGCAAAAAACCCAACAGATTAAAAAACATTGTTTAATTCTCAAGTTATTTCAGTACCTCACCCTGCCTTCAAATAAGTCAGCAAGAAAACGTCCAACTGTTTTTTTCTGATCTGGTGCCAAAGCAAAGGCATGTGATTTTCTGGGTTGATTCCACTTTCTTTATTACCATCTTTATTCACCAAGCTGTTCATATCATCAGAAGAGAGTATGATTTTTCTGTAATGCATCTGTAATAAAATCTCCATGTTATTAACCATTTACCAACAAGACAGTCCACCCCTTTTCAGAGTAACTTTCTGTGTTTTTCCAAAATAAACTCTGAGGGCTAATAGAGAGAAGTCTGAAGACATTTCTGTAGACAATCGTCTAACAGACTCTAGACTGGAGAGCACATAAAGGATTAAGTTGAGCTATAAAATATCTTCTACAGACAGAGAACTATTCCAGCATGTCCAATTCCAATCCCAATGTATAAAGCTTTCTGCAAAGCTAAAACTGGCATTTTTAAAACTCTGCAAGTAACCAGCACACAGAACTGGCAATGGCTTCTTCATATAAACAAGCAAGATACTGGTAACAGTATTTATTCATGCACTCTGTATGTGCAGAATGACATGTAGTAAAATTTGGCTTACATCTGGGAAAGCTTAATGCCTCATAAATTAAAAAAAACCAACAAAACAACAAAACAGGTAGGTGGTTGAAGGAGGTCCACAAGGCAACTGCATCCTTCACATCCTTTCAGACCCAGGAAACACATCTATCTGCAAAACTGGGCACAGCACAGAGAGAATTGGGTCTTGATACAACAGTCTTATGCAGCTCTGTCTAAACATGCACATCATCCTTCTGCAAAATAGAATTCTCCAGTGATCTAGTAGATGTTACAGGCTTAGTTTTTCATAACAAATGACTTGGAAACATCAACTCAAGGTTGAGACAAGCTAAGCCTCACTAGGGTGCTCAGGCTGCTCAGCACTTTACAAGATCAGGCTAACATATGGCTTGCCCTTCTGCTCATTCATAGGATGGCATTTAGTCATCACAAATGTGAACAGTTCAGGAAAGAATAATCTAGTAACTTCAAGAAATAGGAAGACATAATAAAAATTCAGCTGTAAAACAGCAAAAGCAGCAACAGTGGGATGGGTAGTTCAGTAGGGAAAGAATCTCTTCATTTTTTTGCAAAGCAATTACTATCTGCAAGGCATCTGCACATTTATGCTTCATTGTAGTACTCAAATCTCCAGATCCTGCTTAATGCAACGTTAACTTGCTTCCAGGCATGGGGACAACACCTCACAGGCGCTCTTACGGACAACTCCCATGGCACTGTAAATACATCCGTTCTCATGTGATAACGCTCTGCTTACCTCTGTTAGCAACATATGGTGAATATGCCCCTGGAAGAGCAGAGGTATATGATGCAAACTTGCAGTGAATACAGAACAATAATATAGATGGTATTTCACAGACTGTACAG